CCTAAGTACTGCGTCAGCGACTTCTAAGCAGACATTTTTTAGGAACTCACAGCGACCTTGCTCACCGCAGACACCAATCACCTCGTTACTAATGCTGAAGGGGGCGTTGTCGTATAGGGTACCCTAACCCTAACCCTATCATATCATATCATATCATATCATATCATATCATATCATATCATATCATATCATATCATATCATATCATATCATATCATATCATATCATATCATATCATATATCTAACCATATCAGATAGTTACCTCGGGTACATATATGTAGTACCCTATACGACAACGACCTTTTCTGCATCACTACTCGTATCGTTAGTGTTTACCTGCGGGAGAACTTTGCTTCCCTGCTACGAAAGCACCTCGGGTCCTTCTAGGTTTACATGTATATTGCAAAAGCTCGAGTTTCAATGAACGTGACAGTCGGTAACACTTAAATTGCCCGCGTTTATGTTATCACCTGAGTGAATAATTGCAGGTGTATATACGGCATTGATTCAGACTGGGCAAAGTCTAGCGTTCAGCTATTGTCATATGTTTCCATATATTGCTATATATTGCTGTTCGTTGAAGTAAGGTAGGGGAGTGATGACCAGTGCAAAGAGCTAGTCCTGAACATCACTGCTAGGAATAATATAGTAGGGGCAACACGGCTAGGAACAGCACAACTAGGAACAATACACTTAGGAACAACAAAACCAGCAGCAATACATCTGGGAATAACAAGGCTAGGAACAACACAACTAGGAACAATACACTTAGGAACAACAAAACCAGCAGCAATACATCTGGGAATAACAAGGCTAGGAACAACACAACTAGGAACAATACACTTAGGAACAACAAAACCAGCAGCAATACATCTGGGAATAACAAGGCTAGGAACAACACACATAAGAACAGTACAGATAGAAATAACACAGTTATAGAAACAATACAGCAAACAAGCAGTTAATAATACCACTGCCGTATCACTGCTAGTTAACGAGACTACTTGATCTCATCTAAGCCCAATTAGATTCGTTTTTTCACCCGAGTGGGTTAAGCATTGCAGATCTGATTGCCTATTGCAGTCAAGTGACCTTTCGCCGCTGACCTACAAACAGCACAAGTAAGCTGTTGACATGTATACAGAAATCTTGTCAAAATGGCACCAAAATCGTCCGCACTCGCAGTGTGTGTGTGTGCGTGCGTGCGTGTGCGTGGTGTATGTATGTGTGTCTGTGACTGTGTGTGCGCGCGCGCGTGCGTGCGTGCGTGCGTGCGTGCGTGTGTACGTGCGTGTGTGTGTGCGTGCGCGTGCGCGCGTGTGTATGTGGTAGACATATACGTACAGCAGAAGGACAGGTTTTTCCCCTTCGCCCACTCAGCATTCCTCCCGGCCCTGCCACAGTTGTCTTTTGAGAGCGCACGCGAGCCTCTTTCGAGTTTTCGCCGAAAGAGTGCGTAGTGTGGCGTGACGTGGCAGGTTATCCCAGTGCAGCGTTCCTTCAACCCAGTGGGGCGGTTAATTACGATAGACATTTACTACCTGGCACCTGCTATAAGCAATGATGATGTGCTCATGATGAAGAGGTTAATCGTGTAAAATGGTGAGGTTTGCTCAGTAAAAGCACACATAAAAGCAACAACTTTCACCGTCAGTCATTCTTCCAGGATGTGTTGCTGATAAAATAGTTGCAGGGGTTTGTCTGGTGAGATATATATATATATATATATATATATATATATATAACAAAAATACCTGACTAAAACTGTCAGT